TTCTTGGGCTTCCCTTGTGGCTCAGCTGGTAAAGAATCAGCCTACAATGTGGGAGACCTGGGTTCGATCCCTGGGTTGGGAAGATCCCCTGGAGAAGGGAAAGGCTACCTACTCCAGTATTCTGGCCTGGAGAATTCCATGAAGAGTTGGACACGACTGAGCAACTTTCACTTTTTATTCTCTATATTATCATTAAATGTGTCATAATTTTATTTTTATTAAAAATCTTTATTATTATTATTTTTAATAAACTTTGGCTTAAAATTTTTTTTTTGGCCAGGCTGCACAGCATGTGGGATTTTATTTCCCTGACCAGGGACGGGACCCATGCCCCTTGCATTGGAAGGGTGGAGTCTTAACCACTGGACCACCAGGGAAGTCCCAATGTTAAGTTATTGAAACATTTAAGAAAATTAGATTAGGTAAATGAACTATACCCCAATAAAAAATTAATTAAGGAAGAAGAAATAAAAATGAATTCTGACCTGCGTATTGCCTCTTGCCTCCAAGGTCAATGACACTATTCTCCTCTCCTTTATCAAGGAGTTGGACTTCCTGCTCATGCAAAAGCTGTGAGATCTTGACTTGTTGCTGCTTGACCCGGGTCTCCAGCAGGTACACTTGGGCTCTGAGCCGCGACTGCTCCTGGAGGCAGTTCTCCAGAGCCTGCAAAGTAATGTGCATCTCGTCTTACAGAAAATAACCCCCCGGAATGAGATGCTAAATGTATGGTTCAATTTTGTCCCCAGTTCCCATTTCAGAATAGTATCCTAACCAGGAAGTGTTTAGAGGTTCTAAAACCATGTATTTGAAGAAAAAGAAATTATGGCTTACCAGAATAAGAAAGTTTTGCATTAAAAAATGCTTTAATCTGAATGACCATGCTAAGAGCTTTAAGAGTCGCTGCTTCATTTGATCCTCATAACAATTCCATGAGGTAGGAATGAACGCATCTTTGAGTAAACTTGCTCAAAAATTCTCAGCAGGCAAGGAGTCCAGATTCACATCCAGTTCAAGGTCCCTGCTCTCAATCTCAATGTCCCTGCTTGCAATCTCAGTGTCTTCTCCTGAGTGCTTTCTTAACAGGAAAGTGCTTTATGCACGACTAGTCTTGCACTTTCTAAAATAAATGAGGCTTTTGAATGATCTTTTGGTATTAACATATCTAAAAATACATTTGAATGCTTATAATCTGATGACACATGGCCATCTTTATAAAGGATGCTACTTCAGTTTCTCCTATCCCTGAGGATCTTACCCATTTACCTGTTGCTGGAAAGACGACTGAAGTCACCTTAACTTTATGTATGGTGTTTTTCCCTCAATGACTTCAAAAAAGGGATGGAGAAGCCTGAGTTTTTCAGTTGAACCAGCTACTTTCTCTAACAAAGGCAAATAACCCAAGAATGCTGCACATGAACGAGTTTATCAGTTCCTTTCTAAAGTGGCATCTGAGCAGATTACTCCAGAAATAAAGTGAATGTGGTGAGTTGGGAAGGGGAGTTGCAGAGGTGGATATCCTGGGAAGAGCTACTGAGACCAAGAAGCTGTAATAAAGGCTCTTAAGTATTCAACACTGGAAGAGTTACTTGGGGACCACGAGAAAAAAGGACGAAACACAAATTTTTGCCACTTTCCCATTTTTACTTTGACATCTGTTTGCAGTTCATGTCAGGATCTCCTGTGATAAATGCAAATGTTTGCTGAGAAATTACGATTTTTAACATGTAAGTGCTTTACACTACTTTTATATTATTTCCTTTTATAGGCATTTAGTTAGAGTCAGATATATTCCTCAATTTATATTCACATAACTTCCTGTTCCTATCTTTATCTGCTACCTTATATATATATTCCTTCCATAATCCTCCAGGGGATCTTCCCAACCCAGGGATCAACCCAACCCAGATCTCCTGCTTTGCAGGCAGATTCTTTATCAGCTGAGCTACCAGGGAAGCACCTTATATATATTTCTTCCATAAACAGGAGGACCTATTGTGTCTGGGCACTCTGTTAGGCAGTTTGAACAGTAGATATCCTATTTGGGAAAAAAGAAAGAGGTATGTTTTTTCACTATGAAGGACTATAATGTAAAAACAGAAATTCAACCTCAAAGCAGAAAGTCTTACAGCGAGTGAGCGAGAATGACGAGAGGCCCCCTCTCTCCCATCTCCAGGCCCAAACCACCCACTCTCTCCTGGCTGTGTCTCTAGGACTATTTCTCTCTCATAAAAATTTTCACTTCCTTATTTATTTCTGGCTGTGCTAGGTCTTTGCCGGTTGGTGAGTGGGGGCTTTCTTTAGTCGTGGCAAGCAGGGGCTACTCTCCAGTTGTGGTGTGGAGGCTTCTCCCGGCGGCTTCTCTTGTTGCAGAGCACCGGCCCTAGAGCATGCAGCTTTCAGTTGTGGCGATTCCGGGGCTCTAGAGCACAGGCTCAGGACCTGGCACATGGGCTCAGTTGCTCCCCAGCATGTGGTATCTTCCCGGATCAGGGATCGAAATCATGTCTCCTGTTTGGGCAGGCAGATTCCCGACCACTGGACCACCAAAAAAGTTCATCTCTAGGACTATTTCGTATTTTTGTAACTTTCGCCTCACCACTCTTTGATTCATTCTCTCTGAACCAATTATTTACTTAGCCCCCTGAGTCACACCTATCTAAAAAATGAACAGCGAAGTCATTTTATGGCATCTGGAATTCTGCCTTGCTTTCTAACAGTGGGAGATTGGTTGTGATACTGTTAAATACAGTGAACTATAAAAATTTAAAGTGATTAAAGGATTACAGGGCAAGAATGTTCAATTTTTATATGACTATATATACAGTGTTAGTAAACTTGTTTAAAACTTAGTGGGGGGGGGGGCTTCCCTGAGTACAGTGGCTGGGATCTCACCTTCCAGTGCAGGGATTGCAGGTTTGATCCCTGGTCAGGAAGCTAAGATCCTACATGCCTGGTGGCCAAAAAAGCCAAAACATAAAACAGAAGTAATATTGTAACAAATTCAATGAAGACTTTAAAAATGGCCCACATCAAAGAAAAAAAAGTTAGGGGTTTTCTTTCTCTTACAGCTTTGAGTAAATGAGTGTTTTCTTATTTTTATTCATGGAGGGAGGCATAAGTTCATTGCAATTACTTTCAAATAATCTGTTTAGTTTACATGGACAGTGTCCAATATTACAAAGCTCAAGGTAAATCTGAAAGAACTTTTAAATTCTTATTATCATGTAACCACCCAAATAACCTCAGTAAATCAAAAAGACTTAGTGTGAATACTGATTTTTACTCTAAAAAAATTTTTTAAAGCACTTAATAAGTGCCTATTATGTGGCAGGTGCTTCCACAAATCTTTTTCATTTTTCCTCCTTAGTTTTTTCAGTGACAAGTTACTATAGACTTTTTTACAAAAGAAAATTCATATCAAAGCAGGAATTAAAAATATAATAGTTTTTGTAATAAACTTACCCAGCTTCCCCTGCCCATTACCAGAGCAGTGGTGACAAGGATGAAACTAAACATCTTCACCATTTTTCCCATTGGAAGAACTGCAAGAACAAAAAGAATTTAACTTATTGTGAATTTTTTATGAGACCAGTGCTGGCTGGCTTGACTCAATGTGATTCAGGAGGTCAGACACAGCTCCAGGTCAAGTCTAATCTGAGAGTTGCCAAGGAAATTCTCTTGGATTTTCCCAGGCTTCTCCCCACAGAAGGATGCTCACTGTTACCTTGTATAGAATTGAAGCAGTTTGCAAATATAGAGGCAGGACTATGGTTCTCTGGATTGTGGAAAAGGCACAGATTCTTTAAGCACAAAGACCTGGTTCCATATTTTAGCTGGTCAGTTCCTAGTGGTGTGATCTCACACAGCTTACTATAAAATGCTCCTGATCTGTAAAATGGACATCATAATTCTTACTTGGTAGGATTGTGGCCATTTTGATATTAATTTTTCCATATACCTTGGCATATGATAAGTGCTAAATGATTAGTTACTCATTTTGTACATGAAAGCCTGTTTTTATTTTGAGAAAAAGGAAGAAAAAAGTTACAACAAATAGGAGGTAATATGAATTGCTTTTCATAATGTTTTAATGTGTAGGCAGCTACTGAGATAAAATAAAACCTGAAGTTCTCTTTAAAGTTGTAAAGGAAAATTAATTTTACCACTTCTTGAGATATTCTTAAAATCAATCATGAAATCATGAGTCTTGATGAAAAATTTTGCTCATCCTCAAAATAACTTCTCTATGCCACCAGTTGTGAATTCTCATAAATTTTAGAAGCTCAGAAGCCTAGGAGGACAGAAATATCTGCATAATATCCAAAGAAACTTTATACCTATGGTTGCTGCTAAAAAAAATAACTGACATCAACTGAATTATTTATTTGTCAGCCTATTTTTATTCTTACAAAAACCTATGACCACAGGTCCCTTCCATGTATCTCTTTCTGAGTTTCTATGTAATTTAAAAAGTGGGTCCTAAACTTTGTTGCCCATTGGGATCAATTGAGGAGCTTTAAAAACATTTCCATGTCCAGGAATTGAATCAAATGTCTAAAGGTGGCAGTCAGACCTTAGAATTTCTAAAATACTGCCAGCTTTTCCCAATGGTCAGCAAAGTTTGGGAAGCAACGATTTAGGGATTTAACAGACACATTTTTTTCCGTCTATTTTAACAAAATAGGTAGTTCTCAATCCTTGTGGGGCCATACAAAACAACAACAAAAAACAGCTACAATATGAGAGAGGAATTACTTAAATTCAGGGGCAAATAGCATGCATAAGCATCTTGGGAAGCATTACTATATATAATGTAAATTTTTGGAAAATGTGAAATTTTCACATTACAGAGAGTAATAAAGAGTCTCCTAGATAAACCATTAAATTTTACTTAACACAATTTTACTTCTGGCTGATATATATTTTTATTACATATCTAGAATTGTGTTATGCATTTTATTTTATTTATATTTGACCCAAGGACTTTTTTTTCTTCTAATTTTATTTATTTATTTTTTAACACCAAAAACATTTTGCATTGGGGTAAAACCAGTTAACAGTGTTGTGACAGTTTCAGGTGAACAGTGAGGGGACTCAGCCACACATAAACATGTATCCATTCTCCCATAAACTCCCCTCCCATCCAGGCTGGCACATAACAGTGAGCAGAGTTCCATGTGCTATACAGTAGGTTTTTGTTGGTTATCCATTTTCAATATTGGGCTGTGCATTTTCTAAGCATCTTACTTCATCCTCAAATAATTCTCTAAGGCAAGTACTATTATCCTCATCCTACAAATGGATAGATCAGAGATGTCAAGTCACTGAATACTTAATGTTCCTTCATGAAGCACAGGACCTAGGAACGGATAAGTCATAGTCGTGTTTAGAAGTGAGGGTGATCTTCACTGGAGAAGGTCAAGGAGCAGGGCCTCTATACCTCTGTGCATCTTGCATCCCTTTGTGTAACAGGCATACACATATATAGAAAGGAAGACCATGCAGAATACAGGTTCAGGGTCATGGGCCCTTCAGGTAGGAAGCCTTCAGCTCCTGTGAAGGAACATTAGGTCAGCCTGGGAGGAGAGGAGACAGCTGCAGTAAACAGAAGCAGTCCTAGGGAATGGCGGGGCCAGCAAGCGCTAACTGATCATCAGCTACCTGCTCAGCACTGGGTCACATACTGTGGGAAGATAAACTATAGCTGCCTCATCAAGGCAATATTTGGGGGAAGAAATGAAAATAAATATTAAAATGGAAAGAAAGACAACAGAAATTTAGTATACATGAAACCATATGTAGTTAAACATAAAAACTAAATTTTTCCAGATGAACTCTCAAGACAAAATTAATTACTTCCTCCACTGTGATCTCATACATGTTTACAGACCAATAAAGCATTCATTCACTTAGGGAACAGTGTGCGCTTGCGTGCTATGGTCCAGGCACTGTGCCAGGTGGTGGAATTATCATCCGGCTGGCTTTTCACATCTCTCCAACTGCTTCCCTTTGTCCATGATATTTTGCTTAGGATAGGGTTTTTGAAGGCAAAGGCCACATCTTGGTAACTGTTGTATCCTAGCATCTAACTCAAATTGTGGTGACTCCAATATAAGTTTAGAGTTTCCCAAGAGGGAAAATCTTCCTCAGAGGGGAAAAATGTGATTTCCTCGGCATAAAACTGGTCTGTCCACGGTGACATACTTCTTCCCCTGTGCTTACCTTTGTCAGGGGGAAACAACGAGCTAACTATAGTTTTGAAAATATGTGTTAAGGAGGAGTTAGGGACTTTGGGTTGGATTGAACATACAAGTTTTTTTTTTCTCACAAAACCCCAGTAGGAAAGGAGTAAAGAAAAATGGGAAAGACAGGGATTGACAAGGTGGAGGAGAAAGAGAGAGGAGAAAACACTTTGCATGCAATGTCAACAACAGGACAAAAAGCACATGGCAGAGTTCACAAAGCTGCTAAAAAAGAATTATTTTAAGAAGAGATATTTGGATTTATAAAATCACCAAAGGAAAAAAAATGGAAAACTTAATACCTAAAATATTAAAAATTTGGCTCTTAATGGGCAGCTCAGCTGGTAAAGAATTCACCTGCAATGTGGGAGGCCTGGGTTCGATCCCTGGTTTGGGAAGATTCCCTGGAGAAGGGAAAGGCTACCCACTCCTATATTCTGGCCTGGAGAATTTGATGGACTGGATAGTCAATGCGGTCACAAAGAGTCAGACACGACTGAGTAACTTGCACTTCACCAATGGGGCTAAAGTCATTATCATGATAAATGATTAGTTTGACTCTTATTTTCAGTTGGTAATAAACATATTTCTTGAGTAAAATTACAACAATTATGCTGCTATTTTTTTAAAATCTCATTTGTACTCTCATGGTCATTTACTATTTAATTTTAAAACTTACCATGAAGTTTAAGTAGCAGAAAGTAAAACCAAAACAAACTAAAAAAACCCTCCATATAATGGAGGTTTCTTAACGTGTAATAGTCTTCTACACATAATCATACAAAAAAAAAAAAAAGCAAAAATAATTGTTTTAGTATAAGCAAGCAAAAGAAAATAAAGACAAAAAATAGAAAATGTTCTTTTAGAACACATAAAAGAGATTTTAGAAGTTAAAAGTATTATCCCATGAGGCTAGAACACACGGTCAAAATATAATTAAAGGAAGTGAGATCATCCGGTCAAATGTCATCAACATTTGAGGAAACAAGGCTCAGAGAGGGGAAATAATTTGCCTAAAGAAATAAAACAGACTTTTACTAAGGAGATTCACATTAACTTAGAAGTTTAGTATAAAAATGTACTACCATTTGTGAATGTGAGTCACACTGTTTTTCTGACTGAAAAGAGATAATATAGTGAATGGATCATTGATTGGGTTTCTCCTTTTTCTTTCCAGTAGGAAAAGTAATCTCATTTTTCTTATATAATGGCAACCAGATCTTCATTACTTTAATTCACTTCCAGCAGTTATGAGATACAATATTCAGGAGTCAGGAACTAAGTTATGAAAACTTTGGCATCCTCACTTTAATATTATCTGTTGAAATTATTATATTTTTGTTTGGTTCATCAAATTCCCTTATATATTTGTGGGACCAAGTATTTTATTTCAGAAGTGAATAAATCAGGTTGAGAAGAGAGCTTTAAAAATTGTTTTTTTTTCCAAAAAATTTAAGTATAGTTAGAAAGCAGCCTAAATGTCCATGGACAGATGAATCAGACAGAGAGAAACATATGATATCCCTTATTTGTGGAATCTAAAAAAAAATGACACAAATGAATTTATTTACCAAACAGAAACAGACTCACAGACATAGAACACTTATGGTTCCCAAAGGGGAAGGGGGCAGGGACATTAGGAGCTAGGGATTAACATATACACACTGCAATATATAAAAAATAGCTCAACAAGTACCTAATATATAGCACAAGGAACTATGTTGTTGCTGTTTAATCACCAAGTTGTGTCTGACTCTGCGACCTCATGGACTCTAGCCCTCCAGGCTCCTCTGTCCATGGAATTTCCCAGGCAAGAATATTGGGAGTGGGTTGCCATTTCCTTCTCCAGGATATCTTTCAGACTCAGGGATTGAACCCATGCCTCAAGTGTCTCCTGCATTGGCAGGTGAATTCTTTATCACTGAACCGCTTTTTGGAAGTCACAGGGAACCATACCACTTTGCTATACACTTGAAGGTACCATTAACTATACTTTAATAAAAAGATTATGATCTTAAATCTATATCTGAATCTGGCTGTTGTGCAAGTGAAAGTGTGTGTTAAAAGTGCTCTGGGAGATACTGGGAAATTATTTAATATATATGCAGATTGCAATGTATTAGATTTTGTAGAAAATAAAGGGCTGGTGAAAAGCTTTGGCAGATTTCTCTTGGTCTCCTGAAATTTCCAACTCATTGCCATTAAAATAATCAAATCTGATCTTTCCCAGAGAAAGGAGGCAGCCCCTAGCCTGGCAGATCTTTAAACAATAAAGGCATTTCAAAATGCTATATATATTTCAACAGTCACTACATTACTTTGATCATCTTTAGAATAATTCCTGAGACTATCTTAAGACCTCTAAAATTCCCTAGTGCATCCATGAGCAACCCCACCCATCTTCTACAATATTGACGAAATATTTAGGTATAAGAAACTTGCTTTGAAATTCTCATCTCCATCATTCATTATAATAACCATTATTGTTTTGCAAATCTGGCTTGTGGTGAAGCTATCAGATTATTCACTCCTCATTATACAATTAGTTGTATTTATTTTACAATGCTTTTGCTTTGGGCTGTCTCAAAAGTTTTAATTATTGTAAAATTGAAATAGTTTCAAATGGCGGTCCTTTGATGCACTGTATTATTTGATATAAATTGTTCAAAGTGTTAAGTCTAATTTCTCCCCAATAAAAATTTTTAAGTTAATTAATTAATTTAAAATTAAAGGCAAAATATTAACTTTAGGGCTATAAAGTTTTATAGCCAACATGTAAGTTTTAAAAACACAATCACCAAATGAAAATACATTACTAGCATGTAAAATTTAAAAAATGGTATGTTTTAAGTGAGCTATTATGAAAGGATACTAAACAGAAGTTAAAAAGAATAAAAAGTTACTGAAGGAAGCATATCTAATCAGTCAGCATTCTCAGATGGCAGTGCTCACACATATTAATGTGTCTCATATTAATGTAAAACAGTTAAACAATTACCCATTAGCATAGACTTAAGAGACTCCCTTTGGGTTATTTTCCTCTAATTTTTTCCCCCCTCTTTTTTCTGGTAATGGAATATAACAGTATTTTTGTTATTTATCTCAAGAATGTATACTCAATGAAAGCCTTAAAAAGTCAAGTAAGTTTGACTTCCAAAAGACAGAAATAAAGAACAACATATCTGGAGTTTTTACTTCTGAGGTAAAAATTATAACATGGTCCATTTCGTTTTCTATTTTGTATATTAAAGTTGCAAATCTTTTTATTTACATCAAATTCTCATCCAGTTCATTCAAAATGTGTCAGGAATGGAAAAGAGATGTAATTTTAAATTTCTTTTCCAAGCCTCAGAAGTGGACATCTATTTAATCAACATCTTTCTCAACAGCCAACAGTTGTTTCTTGAGTTGTGTTTTAATATCTTACCTATGAAACAAACTAGCATTATTACAATTATGTCAAAGTACAGAGAAGTTAAATACCTTGCCTAAAGTCAGAAATGAGTCAGAGACACGCTCAGGCGAGGTCCAGCCGTTCTGCCTTCCAGGCTCCTCTATCTGCATTTAGAGTTTGTAATTGCTTCTCCGCTATTTGATTAGAAAAACGGACAATGTTGATTCTGGCTTTAGTCCAGAAATAAATAGATGAGGAAATCAGTTTAACTGGAAGGAAAACTAAAAAAGGATATTCAAGGACAAATTCTAATACTCTGATATTTTTCTTTTTTCCCCTACTATTTGTATGAATTTTTATGAAAGATCCAATAATATATCTTTATAAAAATATATCTCTGATTTTTTAACCTTTTACTATTGTGCTCATTCAGAAAATTTTTGTACTTTGACTAATTTCAGTAATGCTCACCTTAAGATTAAGTAAAACCAAAGTGCAGTGGAAGCTTTGCTTTATTGTACTAGTGATAATAAAATTTTACCTATAAAGATATGGATTGTCATTTCAATTACTATATGGAGAGAAGCCAGATTTGTCTTAGTTATAGAAAAAAGTGGCAATATTTGCCAAGATGAAACAGTTTATTTGATCTTTAAAATACACAAAAATATTCCCTGAGGGGCAAAATTGTGAAATTTATCTGTAAGTATCAGTTATCCTCCGAACAAGCTGTTCCCTTTGTTTTAAATTGTAGAGGAGTTTTGAATGTGTAAGATGTTAGCTTCAATGATCATATTGCATAATAGTTTCAGACTGGAAACCCAGGTTCATTTCTGTTTTCATTCTGTTGTAACTCACACAGTCCTTTGACGTTTGTTCTTTGATCACTATTTATTAACTCAGATTCCAGTAAAAAGTTGTTTCCTTGCTGTCCTTTGTTGTTTTCTGAACTCAAGTATTACTGGTGTTCAGCCTTCCCGTTAAGCATTTTCACATTATTCCCTGAGAAGTTTTCCAGCTTATTAAGGAAAAGGTAATCCTGCTGATTTATTGGAAAGAAAAAGTCAGTTAGGTTGGAATGATTTACACCCACAGGAGAAGTGGAGATTATACATTCATAATAACAAATTCAAGCTGCTGCAGTTAAATTTAAAAAACAAAGGTATGGGATTATTTGGCTGATTTGATAATTACCTCTGGTAAAATGCAACATTTTGAAGTAAAAATGTATTTTTTTTATCCTTGTATCCCTTTTGTCTCTTCCCTGTTCAAGCATTTAATGAGCCCTGTGCCTACTTCCTCAGAGGAGGGACAATCATTGCGGTAACAACAGCTATCATGTGTGGCACAATTATGTACCAGACATGGTGAAAAATGAACTCATTCAGACCCAACAACCCTGTCATCAGGAATTGCTATCTTCATTTCACAGATGACGAAACTGAGGCACAGAGGTTTAAAGAACTAGCCCAAGGTCACACATTAGCAAGAGGCAGAGCTAGGATTCAAAGGAAGACTGGCTCAGAATCTGTGCCCTTTACCATTAAAGATGGTCAGTGCTGTCTGTCAAGGCTCTCTCCAGCCCTATGCCTCAAGAGAAACTTGGAAAAAGCAAATCAGACACAGGGACAGAAAAAAAAAGTAAAAGTGAAAGTCACTCAGTTGTGTCTGACTCTTACAACCCTATGGACTCTAGTCCTCCAGGCTCCCTGTCCATGAAATTCTCCAGGCGAGAATACTGGAGTGGGTTGCCATTCCCACCTCCAGTGGATCTTTCGGACCCAGGGATTGAACCTGGGTCTCCTGCGCTGCAGGCAGATTATTTACCATCTGAGCCACCAGGGAAGTCCCCAAGGGTGGAATTTAGGGCGAATGTCTTGTGAAGGCATGCCAGAACCTGAACTTGCTGGGAGGAATACTATCGCTGTAGTTCACGGATGCATTGTCATAGCATAGTGGAGGAACGGTCATCAGGAAAGGTCAGATTTGTGACCTTGCACAACTCTACCAAAGCGATGAGCTGAGAATGAGACCTGAGCTCACTGGCTGACAGAAGTGTGAGAAAACAATGATAAAGAGAAGCCAGTGGGATCCAGTTTTTGAGGAGATGGGCCAGGAACAGAGTGGTTGGGATGCGTACTCTACAGCACAGCTGCATCCTCCCCCGCTTCTTTCTTCCTTTGTTAAACACTGAAGTATAGTTGCTGTACAGTATTATATAACACAGGTGTACATACAGTGATTTGCCATTTTTAAAGGTTATGCTCCAGTGATTGTTATTATAAAATATTGGCTACACACAGTCACATAAGTAGAGAACAAACTTATAGTCACCAAGGGGGAAGGGAGGAGTGGGATGAATTGGGAGGATGGGATTGATAACACACATACTATTGGCACTACGTATAGATAACTAATGAGAACCTACTGTACGGCACAGGGAACTCTCCTCAATGCTGTGGTGGCCTAAACTGGAAGGAAATCCCAAAAAGAGGAGATCTATGTTTAGGCAAAGCTCATTTACTTTGCTATACAGCAGAAACTAGCACAACATGGTAAAGCAACGAGACTCCAATAAAAAAATAAACTATTGGCTATATTCCCCCACGTTGTACAATAAGTCCTTTTAGTTTATTTTACATGTAATAGTTTATACCTCCTACGCCCCAACCCCTCTCGTCCCCTGCCCCGCTTCTCTCTCCTCACTGGTAACCACTTAATTTATTCGCTGTTATCTGCGGGTCTGCTTCTCTCTTGTTATATTCACTAGTTTGTGTATTTTTTAGATTCCCCATATCATACAGTATTTGTCTTTCTCTGTCTTTTTTCACTTAGCATACAGGGCACAGCTTCTTAAAGGGACTTTACTGAGAAGAACAGTGAGTTCATTAGGCTTACACCTTCAATCAGCTTGTCTAGAAGTTGCATTTTACACATTTACCCTGAGCAATTATTTTCTGGAAAATGGACTCATGGATAATAGTTTCTCAAAGGATAAATAAAACAGAAAAGTAACCATATTAAATTAGAAAAGAGAATTGCTTGGTAAGATAACCTGTTTAGGAATTTACAGAGAAGATTTCCTCATGGTGGACAGATATTCAGTTCAGTCAGTTCAGTTGCTCAGTTGTGTCTGACTCTTTGCGACCCCATGAAACGCAGCACACCAGGCCTCTCTGTCCATCACCAACTCCAAGAGTTCACTCAAACCCACGTCCATTGAGTCGGTGATGCCATCCAACCATCTCATCCTCTGTCGTCCTCTTTTCCTCCTGCCTCAATCTTTCCCAGCATCAGGGTCTTTTCAAATGAGTCAGTTCTTCACATGAGGTGGCCAAAGTATTGAAAGTTAAGAAAGTTTATGGGTAGTGAGGCAACACTAGTAAGTATGTGCAATGGATGAGTCAACTAGGTTGGAACTGAGACTTTGGGTACATAGTCCCGTGGAATTAGGAATCTCCTTCATAGCTCCTCTGGGATTCAAAGAAGAAAATCACAAAACTGCTGAATTATCCAGTTGGGAAACCCATGTTATCTTTAAAAAGTCTGGTTGTTTTGCTCTGTTCCTGGCCAACTCCTGGAGTGGTGTTGAAAGAGCCATGGTGGTCTTGAAATGCTGATATTACCACCAGATTTCAAAATGTAAGTAATGGCGGTAGGAAAAAGTCACTTTCTCCTTCCCTAACCTAATCTAGACTCGGACACAAGCCTCTTCCCTGAAACCCCATCAAAAGCATTTAATAGGCTGTGATTTTTGCAAAACTTCTGAAACTCTGGGGATAATGGAAGGAAATTACAATGCAGAGAAGGAAAATGTTAAGCAGAAATATTAGCTATGACTATTCTCTTCTCCATAGAAAATAGAGGGCCCCTTGGGCCACCTCTCCCCTTTATCCATGGACCCACACTACTGACATGTTGAAGGAATTACATAACCCCCCATGCAGAGAACGTCCTTGATCATATCCTACCCTTAATTTCTCTCTTGGTTTATTAAGAGGGGAAGAAACTTCTATCTCCCCAGCCAATAAAGTACTAACCACTAAGGATTCTTTACCTATTATTAAGACAAATTTACAGATGATACAGAAAAATTTTGCTTTTTTCCCACAAAGTTTCCATTTCAGAATATAGTCTGCACTGTATTTTTGTATAATAAAAGCTTATTAAAGTATCACTTACCAAGAAAAAGAAAAACTTTCTCCAAAGATAAGTACAGCTCTGTTTCTAGCTAAACAAAAAATTGCTACCAAAATCCTGTTAAATATGGTGGATTGATTACATATTTTAATATGTGCTTTCTCCTCAAATCTCTTTAAAATGACGGCAATGAAATAAAAAGGTATAAACCTACAATGTCAAAGAGGGCTGCCCTGGTGGCTCAGTGGTAAAGCATCCGCCTGCCAATGTAGGAGACACGAGTTCATTCCCTGGGTCAGGAAGATCCTTTGTAGAAGGAAATGACAACTCACTCCAGTATCCTTGCCTGGGAAAGCCCATGGACAGAGAAGCCTGGTGGGCTACAGTCCACAGGGTCGCAGAGTCGGACATGACCCAGTGACTAAACAACAACAACAATGTCAAAGCAAACAGGAATGACATGTGAAGGAATAAGAGATTACAACAACTTACTGGAAGAGATTTTAGACGAAACACAAAATTTGAGAGTGGCTGTTAAGGCTAAAAATAAGCAGATTGGTGAAATAATATATAAAGTGTAGTTGGACCTGATTGCCTCTTCCCCACCCCATGTAACTCCTAACCTCTTTATTCATACACTACCTACCACTTGCCCATTTTTTTTACTCCTAAAAGAATTTGATTTGGAACTTATTTTCATTTGGGAGTAGCAAGAACATTGAAAGGCAGGAGCTACAAACAGAGAAGTTAAAGTATGTATAGAAAAAATACAACCAGGCACCTCTATTAGCACAAAGCAGAAAGAGCTTAAATAAATTAAATAGTCAAAATCAAACTTCACTGAGTGGATTAGAATATATAGTCAAGGAATCCTCCCAAAAGGCAGAAAAATACAAGGGAAGTCAAATAGAAGAGAAAAGAAAATTAAAGGTATAGTTTAGGAAGTCAATCAGGTACCTAATAGAACTTTCAAAGAGGTGACAGGACCCAGTGGAGAGTGAATTATCAAAGAAACAATACAAAAATAATTCCCAGGACTGAAGGAGAGGAACCC